TTGCAGCAGGTCAGTTCTGGTTTCCTTCTTCGTGTTCGTGAAGAGGAGCTGGGGCTGGTGGAAGTTTAATTCTTCGCGTTTGCGAAGGTGTTCCCGCGTTCGCGAGGCTGTGGGGTCTTATACCTACGCGTTCACGAAGATGGTCCCATGTTCGCGTAGGAGGAGGAAAGCTGGTCACCGCGTTCGCGACATGGACATCGCGTTCGCGATGAAGGAAGACTGGACCAAGCGAAGTTGTGCTTCGTAAACGCGAGGGTCCTTCCGCGTTCGCGAAGAAGGATTTATCTTGGCAGAATATAAAATTTCAAAGTCGAGGGTTTGGCTATTTTTATCAAAACTAGAGCTTGGGAGCTCGGATTTGAGCGAGATTTTGAGGGATTTTCAGAGATATCGATTGGGTAATGATTCTTAACTCCTTTTTGCTTATAAACCATTAATCTAAACAAGAATTCATCATCTAATTTCGAATTTGGGGTGAGAACTTGGGGAAAATTTTGGAAAAGTTCTTAGACCTAATTTTCGAGTTTTGATTGAGAATTTGACATTGGATTGGGATAATTTTGGTATGGTTAGACTCGTGAGTGAATGAGGGTTCGTAATCCGAAACTTTTACCCGATTCCGAGATGTGGGCTAGAGGGGCATTTTGGTCATTTTACCTAATTTCGCGTATTAGCTTAGAATTTATTTGTGGAATTAGTTACTTAAAATTATATTTACATTATGAAATTGAATTGAATAGATTTGAGCTATTTGGAGTCGAGTACTCGTGGAAAGAACGTGGTTTCGGGTTGATTTTGAGCCAGTTCGAGTGCGTACTTGTGCTAATTATTGAAAATCCTCTTTTCATTAAGTTATTTTAGTTGTGTTTCCTTTCTTGTTTATACTACTTGCAATTTAAGCCTACTGTTAGCTTAGGGAAGCATGTCTAGTTGACTTAATTGTTTTACTTGCTCTAACTGCCTTATTTGGATTATGTGTAGCATGCTAGGTTAGAAATACCTATTTTACCTTGGTATGAAATTGAATTTAATTGAGTATTCTTTGTGTAGCTGCTGTGTGTTTACTTTGGGGCTACAGGACGGTATCCCGGGAGATCCCCTGCACATATATTGATTTGGACTGTAGTACGAGATACCGAGAGATCCTCAGCACGTATATTGAGGATACTAAGAGATCCTTGGGATACTGAGAGATCCCCAACACACATATTGAGGATACTGAGAGATCCTCGAAATACTGAAAGATCCCCGATTGTTATCTCTGTGTTGAGCTGTATTCCTTTCTGTGATTATTTTGTCTTTATTGTAGTTGTTGTTGTTCTTTCTATCATGTGTTACTTCTTACTGTTGCACTTAATTATACTGTCTTATTCTATACTGTTATACCTTGTTTCTCATTTAAACTCAGTAGGGCTCTAACCTTTCTCGTCACTACTCGACCGAGGTTAGGCTTGGCATTTACTGAGTACCGCTGTGGTGTACTCATGCCCTTTATGCGCATGTTTTTCATGTGCAGATCTAGGTACTTCGACTCAGCCCTACTACCCTTGAGGCGAGGCGATTCTCCAGAGATTTCGAAGTATATCTGTCGCGCCCGCAGACCGAGGAGTCCCTTTCCATTCTCTCTCATAGTATTAGCCCTTCTGTATTTACTTTTGTTTAGTCATTCTGGAGTTAGACACTTGTAGTAATTCAATAGCTTGTGATTTCATGAGATTCCGAGTTTTGCGAAATGTAGTTTCAGTTTGAGAGTTGTATTGTATATGCCGAGGGACATCTTAAACGCTTCCTTTTGATATTTTTCTATAGTTTTGGCTAGTTTTATTCCGTTGTTTTCTTTTCCGCAATTTGTTAGGCTTACCTAGTCGTAGAGACTATGTGCCGTCACGACAGTTCATAGAGGGTGAACTTGGCCGTGACACACCGGTATCTGCACAAGAAGTGCAGAAGTGTAGCATGAGCACAACTAATCACATGTACTCTGTAAGTGTCGAGCCTAACCTCGACGAAGTAGTGACGAGGCTATGACAAGACACTTACAATAAACTTGTACGAAATAATAATAACAGAAATAGGTATAGAAATAAAACAGTAAACTCAAATAAATGGATCAGAAGGTCAACTATAAGAGAGCTCCAGAATAACATAATCTCAAACCTCGTATCACAACATCAAGAATAATCTCTACAGCCACAACATAACTGTATCAAATTCGTCGCGGCGTGCAACCTGATCCTCCAATATTAATTCATTTTAATATCGTTGCGGCGCGCAACCCGATCCCCCCAACATTAATTTATCAACATAAACAACTCAACATCAATATTTTCGCAATATCAATACAAAGAGAAATGAAACATGCTGAACAATAAGAAACTACAAAAAAAACAGAGATTAATCAATACTAAAAAATTTGAACCTTGGCAAAACAATAATACCAAAATAGCTAGATGACCCACATAAACGGAATAACATAATAAAGTAGCTCAAGTAATATAAGAATGGTAAAAGCAAGTAGAACATGAGACAACAAAAATATACAATTTATACAATTAGAAGCATGTAGCAGGTAAGCAGATATTGGATGAGAAATGTATAAATCAAAGCAAATAACAAGTAATGCATAGATGTCAAGTATGGACGTGTAACAATTAAAGCATATACAAGAGACAACATGGAATAAATAAAGACATGGAAATAAATAGCCCAACCTCGCATGCTTTAATCACACTATAGCTCATATACACTCGTCACATCACATATACGCCGTTTTCCCACATAATTCACATAACAAGTAAACCAACAAGTAAGGCATAGATGTCAAGTAAGGACATGTAACAATTAAAGCATATGCAAGAGACAATATGGAATAAATGAAGACATGGAAATAAATAGCCCAACCTCGCATGCTTTAATCTCACTATCGCTCATATACACTCGTCACCTTGCATATATACCGTTTTCCCACATAATTCACATAACAAGTAAATCAACAAGTCCTAATTCCCTCAAGTCAAAGTTAGGCCCAATACTTACCTCTTTCCGCAATCATATCAATACTCAACCACGACCTTTTCTTTAGAATTATCCTCCAAACCAGTCAAATCTAGCCAACTATAGTTCAAATAATTCAAAATAAGTTTTAGAAACTACTCAAGAGTGAAAAAGATTCAATCTTTAAAGAATTTGAAAAAAGTCAACAAAAGGCAACCTTAGGACAGCTTGGTCAAATCTCGAGATTCAGACCAAAACTTGATTTACCCATTCATCCCCGAGCCCGGTTAAGTGATTTGTTTCAAAATCCGACGTCAAATCTCAATTTTGCAAAATCCCTAAATTCTACCCAAATCCCTAATTTCTACCATGAAATTCATAGTTTAAAGGTTAGAAATTAATGGGTGATTATAGAAATACATCAAAATTAGTAAAAAATCACTAACCAATAAAGTGGGGATAAAAAATCTTTTCAAAATCGTCTCTAGGCTGAGCTCTAGCTTTCACAAATGGTGTAGAATGACAAAATCCCAACTTAGAGTTTTCATTTAATTGGGCGTCAGGTGTTCTTCACGTTCGCGAAGAACAAAAGCCCATTGGCTTTCGCGTTCCCGAAGTCTTCGTCGCGTTCGCGAAGGCTATTCCCAGCCAAGCCTTCGCGTTCGCATCCCAAGGGTCACGTTCGCGATGAAGACCATCACCTGTGTCCCCAGCCATCCCACATGCTACGCGTTGGCGAGGGGTCTGTCGCATTCGCAAAGGGTAGTTCCCCCAATCCATCGCGTTCACGACCCGCATTTTGCGTTCGCGGAGAGTAACCAGCACCCGTCCAAACTTCTCCTTCGCGATCACGAGAGAAGCTTCGCGATCGGGAAACACAATGTAACAGACACTAGAAACAACAGTTTTACCAGTTCAAAATGGTCTGAAGCCTATATGAAACTCAACCAAACCCTCGGGGTTCCAAATCAAACATCCAAACAACTCTAAAAACATCATATGAACTCGTTCGCATAATCAAAATACCAACATAATATCTAGAACCAAGAATTGGACATCAAAACACATGAAATTCAAAAGAAAACTTAAGAACCTCTAGAATCACAACCAAGCGTCCGAACCAAATTTTGCAGACAAGTTTCAAATATTAAAACGGACCTATTCCATGTCCCAAAACTAAAATCCATACTCGATAACCATAAAGTCAGCCTATGGTCAAACCTAGGAAATTTTCAAACATTCAAATTGCTAACTTTCAGCAAAACAAGTCACATCACCCTAGGGATCTCCGTGTTCAATTTCGGATATACGTCCAAGTCCAAAATCACAATAGCGACATACCATAATCGTCAAAACATCGACCAGGGGTTGTTTGCCCAAAATATTGACTGTAGTCAACTCCAGTGGGTTTTAAAGCCAAAAATCACATTTTCTTTAAATATTTACGTAAAAAAATTTCGAAAAACAACAGGACTGCACACGCAAATTAAGCAATATTAAATGAAGCTAATAGAGGTCTTGGAACACGAAAGTAAGGGCTAGCACTCAAAAAGACTTATCGGGCCGTCACACTTGTCTCATATTATTATATTATTTTTAAAAAATACATTATATAATTATATTTTAGTAGGACTAAAGAAATATTTGGAGCACAATTAAATATTTTGTGCTTATGAAGACTTTATCGGGAAAAAACTCAAAAATCCGAAAAATCTGAGAAAAATCGAGATTGAAAAACTCGACTTTTTTGGTTTGGTATGATTTATAGATTTAAAAACCCGACACCATTGATTTAGTTTAGTAATTAAAAATTTCAAATCAACCCGACCTATGTACACCCTACCGTTAGTAATTATATATGTGTTTAAAATTGGATAGGCCTTGACACGTTATGCCTTAGCCTTACTGTCCGATCCTAACATGTTTTACATAGTTTCTCAAACCTTTTTTCTTCTGTCCAATGTCATCCACAGAAATGTACATGCTCAAGTTGATAAGCTGTTCAATTTTCTACTTGAATGGAACAGGGGAATGTTATAAATCTTGAGGAAAAATTATACCCCTACCAGAAAGAGAGTTGCCAGTTTCATTACAAAAGATGTTTATATCATCCTGAATGCAGTCTTCCACATCATACATTTGTGTTAATATGTACAAAATAGTCAGTTGTCGTCGGTGAGTTTTGAAAGCAGATAGAGGCAGCCAGAGCAAAGAAGCACAGAAGCTGAGAAGCAAAGCAGATCAAATGGAGAGTTTATAACAGCCCTCTTGCTTTTGTCAAACAAGCCGATGAGAAGAAGCATCACGATAACATGGCCAATTTTGGTTTTCAGCCCACTAACAGTAGTTATTTCCAACCATCTCGGTCGTTCCTGGCAATTATATTTGTTAACAAATGTGAGTCATCAAGACATTGGTTGCGATCATACAAGCAAGAGTGAAGAAGAGACTACAACCTTTAGAGTGAACATGCCGAAGAGATTTGATCTATATGGAGTTGTCTCCCTTGACATTGATTTCCCTTTGTCAAGGTTGCTGATGAACAGCTCATAGAGTCCCATCCCAAAGACTAACATCACTGTCCCTAATAAATATATATCTGGAATAGAAATAATACAAGTCACAAAACATATTATAGAGGCAAAATGGCTATTCTGGAAAATAAATCATCAGATTCTCAGATCATACAGAATAGTATTATATTGTATAACAAGCAACACCTTAACTTGTGTCCCTCTTCCTCACCTCAAGGGCACATTTAAATTTTATGTCGGGATATATAGTCTGTGATAAGATTAAACATTCTATTCTTCCGTCTCTGTAGGATCCAAGCTCTGTTCCTCTTTAAATTCATTGCTTGCATCTAAATCGAAAACTAGTTTTAATATCAATGTATCAATCAACTGCCCCTCAATCCAATACTAGCTGGGTCAGCCATATCTTTATATATTTCGCTTTATTATGGTCTTTTTAATGCCAATACTGGTAACCTATTTATGTTTGAATATTTCCCCAAAACAAAATTACAAGTACAGATTCGGATTCTTTGATATTGAACACAGTAATCACAAAATTTCTCGCAGAAGAATCAAACCACACCCTTCCCCTTTGAGTGAAGAATGAGAAGCACCTGACCTGAAACGTAGTAAGCTGAATCAACAAGATTTTTACTCCCTCCGTTCCAGTTTATGTGAACCTATTTCCTTTTTGGTTCGTTCCAAAAAAAATGAACCCTTTCTAAATTTGGTAACAATTTAGCTTAAAGTTACAACTTTGTCCTTAATGAGAAAGCTTTTATAACCACACAAATACTCTAGGCCCCATTTGGACTTGTTTAGGACCACAAATTTCAAAAGTCTTCATTTTTTTCTTAAACTCCGTGCCCAGTCAAACAGGTTCACATAAATTGGAACGGAGGGAGTAACTTTTTAACGAACTTCAGTTGTTTTGCCAAGGAAAAAGCATGAGCGAAGCCCAAGTCAATCACCAAATGAAAATGAATAGTTAAACATTAATCCACATCCTGTTAAAAAACAGTAAGAGCCTAGGAACATAAGATGCGATTCATGTGCCAACATCATCTGCAACAATTATTTATGGCAAGAATATAAAGTGTACGTTTCATTCTTTGCTAGTTGCTTAAACCTTAGTAATGTGCAATCCCATTTACTTGGCTTATTCTCCTTCCTTTCCTTTTAGATCTGATTAAAAACACTCTTATTGCTTCAACCTTCTTATTGCTTGAATAAAAGGGTGAACCATTCCCTCTACTTGATGGACAACACTAGTAATGCATTTTTTAACTTTAACATTACATGTTCTAGCAGGTTGCTTGCATTTTTGTTAGGTAACTACTTCCACTTCTAATGCTCTGCTATCTATAGTTATCCTAAGGTGACTTCATAGTGTAAGAATATTTTCTCAACAAGTTAAACTCGTTTGTTGTTCTTGTGTGTTTGTCGCATCTTGTTTACAGTTAATTCTGAAACTCATAATCTAATGACATTAGAGAAAGCCTCAAATTTTTACATAAAAGTAGCGAGAATATCATTTGTTAACGAGTGAATCAATGGACTCGGGCAATGCCTTGTTGTGTGTCATCCTTATTAGCAATAAAACGACAGAGAAAGGAAGATAAATTGATGAGATGGAGCACAAAAAAAAAAAAATACTAGTAATTAATGACACACCTAGAGCCTCAACGAGATACACAATAACCTTGGTTCGGCTTGCAAAGTATGCTTGGAATGATTCTACCACACATGAGCAACCCTGTTTGTGGAAATGAAGTCAATTAAATAACTAGTTGTATTTCTGGATACTGATAACATCAGACGATTATATTTTGTAACAGAAAAACATCAAATCTTAGGTTCCATATATTACTGGATCACACACCGCCAATATTTCTGAAAGAAGGCTAGCAGTAGCAGACATAAACGATGCTCACTGACTTTTAGTGACAATTTAGGAATTCAAAAGTGCTCCACACTCTGAGCACAAGCATAAATGTGAGAGTAAGGGCTAACCTAGAATTTAGGGTCTGAGGAAAAGTCTCTATGTATTGCAAGTCAATGTTTCATAGCTCCATCCTTCTTCCAACATAGGACTCTCCTTGATTTGTGAATACTGTTGTGGTATTTTGTATGGTTTGTTTACAAAAGCTAAAGTTTATTTCATCGGAGTCCAATAGAAAGGAAGAGGAGAGGAAAAAACACAAGAATCACTGCCCTAAGAGAAATGGGTTGAATGACACCAACTAATTAGACTAACGTCTAATAAAAGATTTATTGATCAATCACAATCAATGACTTTTACTTGAACTTGTTTCTTTTCTTGACTCTATATCTTATATAGGATTTGTCGGTCTCCATCTCTATGAAATTGCAAGTCATCAGCCGTATGCTGCTAGCCATGAAATTTTCACAAAGTGCCAAATTGAGGTCTCAAAACTCTAAAGTTCAATTTTGTGGATAACATTTACTCCATTAGTATCTAATCTCTTCCCCCTTGTATATCATAGGCAATTCTTGATTCATTAGTATCTAATTGTACTGTCATTTGCTTAAAACAATAAATAATCCATAGGCTGCGATAGACAACAGAAAAGAAAAGGTAAGAATTTCATCAATCACAGCATAATAATAGTAATATAGTTCTAAAATAAGTAAATATCTGCCAAGAAGAACAAAATAACTAGCCTTTTAAACTTGTGCCGTCCCTAAAGGATCCTCTGAAATTATAGTTACAAGGTTATAACATACAAAATTGAATAAAGGAACCTCTAATATCCAAAAATGAAACTCAGTTGCTTTGCATAATTCAGTAAATACAAAAGGGTAAAAGACTAAACCTTGATAAAACAAAGAAATGATCCAATCAAGGAACCCCACACTGCAAGAATAGCGAAAAACCGACAGCTATAAATTACCTGCAAGAAACCAAATTTCAAATATCAAGAAATCACAAGATGTCACCTATTCCAAATATAATTCACTCTATTTATTCCAATTAAGATGTCACCTTCTCTACATTTTTCTCTACCCCTTCTAAGTTTTCTTCAGGAATATGAAGTCTGCTTGAATCAATATCAGACTGAATAACTGGTGATGAAACATGAACTGAAGAATGGGTGCAACGAACTGAAATAGTAGATAAGGCAACTGGAAATTCAAAACCAGAAATCTGAAACTGAGGTACTACCCATTTCACAGTTGAAGCTGATTTTGAGTTCTTCACATAGATTGGAGCTTTTAGATTTGTAGATAAACCTCCAGTACAAAGTTTCATGGTGGACAAAATTAAGCATACAGTAGTAGTGCAAGAAAAAAAAAAAAAACAAGTATCTTTTATAAGATACTCGACAAGACATGTTTGGGATAGTTACTGAGAATAATGATATATACTGTCCTTTTCTGATTTTTCTAAGTGGAAGAGTATTGGCCGCACACATGTAAACTTAATGTCTTTTTCAGTTTGCCAAAGAGCAACACATGTAAGTACCCAATCACGAAAGTTACTAATTTTTTTTTTTTTTTTTAACAAAAAATTAAAGTCATTCAACGTTACCAAAGTGTCATAAAAACATTGTTGCGCAAGATCGTGTGTTAACTAACATACAATCATACACAAAGCAAATATAGAAGGAAAATCAATACAAGGATTTAACAAGGTTCGACTAATTCTAAGGGCAGAAACAGAGAGAGTTTTTCACTATGAATGAGAAGAAAAACACAATATAATTTATAGAATTCCCAACTATAACCTCTATATATAGATCCCAAATAGTCCCAAACCAATAAGAGAAAAGCTTCCTAATTTGACGAGAACTATATGTTTTTCTTTCCCTAATCTATTAGGACAATTGATTTTCCTAAACCTATAGGGATTATGGGTTTCCGAAAAATACAAGGAAATAATTCAAGTCAAAAAATAACAAATCTTCCCCTTGGCTCGAATTCTCTTCATTAACAGGAACGTCTCTCTACCTTGCCTTCAGCCCTCACGAGGGCTCTAGCCATTGCCGCACATATTAACCAAGTTTAGGCAATGCCTAAACTTGTTAAGAGACTCAACCTCTTCAGCCATTGGAGTAATCTATCGATTTGGTTCTGTACCCGGAATAGCTTCTGTATAGCTATAATACTCAAACGCATCAACGGTCTCTGCAACTCCCAAAGCAAATCCCACGTATATCCAAGAAGATTCCCATCAACTACGTTCGCAAACCTTTGCGGTCGGTTGATCACTCTCTTCTCTCTCCATGTTGCAATGTTATATTATAGTTATTGTGCAGGTGCATCAACATTATCATCTTGATCAATATTTTGCACCTCCTCCACTTCCTCTAATCACAAGACCATCGCCCTCAATTCTGCTGTCCGAAAAGCTTTTTTCAACTCTTTAGATTTTAGTACATTACTAACATCTTCCAGTAAAATGTTGTCTTTCCCATATAGCAGTATATCGGTAAAAGTATCATAAGACGGTGGTAAAGAACATAACACAATCAAGGCCTGATATTCACTCTCAATTTTGATATCCACATTCTTCAGGTCCATTATAATTAAACTCATCAAGGTGAGTTTTAACAGGTGTACCTTCGTTCATACGGAGATTGTATAACCTCTTTTTCAAGTAGTGGTGGTTTGTTAGCGATTTCTTAGAATACAGATCTTCCAGCTTCTTCCATGTTGTTATTGCAGAAGTTTCTTCAGCAATTTTCCGATGAACGCTATCTTTAACACTCATGAAAACACACTCAAAGCCCTCTCCTTCACGCCTGCCTTCTTTGTCTCTATCGTCTCTTCAAGAAAATCCTCATCAATTGCCTTCCATAACCCTTGTAACACCAGGGACGATTTCATCATAATCTTCCATAGACTGAAACTAGAACCCCCGTCAAATTTCTCTACTTCGAACTTTGTTGAAAATGATGAAGACATCTTAACCCTAGATTATATGTAGAAACCCGAACCTTGCTCTAATACCAATTATTACGGAAGATCGTGGGTTAACTAGCACACAATCATATACAAAGCAAATAGAGAAGAAAAATCAACACAAGGATTTAACGAGGTTCGGCTAAGCCTAATCCTCGAGGCAGAAGCAGAGAGAGTTTTTCACTATAAATGAGAAGAAAAGCACAATACAATCTATAGAATCCCCAACTACAACCCCTATATATAGATCCCAAATAGTCCCAAATCTATAAGAGAAAGATTTTCTAATTTGACGAGGACTATATATTTTCCTTTCCCAAATCTATTAGGACAACGGGTTTTTCCTAAACCTATATGGATTATGGATTTCCTAAAAATACAAGGTAATAATTCAAGCCACAAAATAATAGAGATATCTCCTTTGTTTCCTCCTAGGAATGTTCTCTCGTACTTTGTTGAAATTGAGCGATTTTTTTGTCACAAAATTTGGCTCCGTAACCTTCGTCATACTTAGCTCCCGTTTGGTCGTACGTAGGTTTTAGCTTTAATTTTTCAAATTTCTTTTGGAAATGTTATTTGTTTATAAAATATGATCAATGGAAAAAAATTCAAAAAATTTCAAGTTCCCAAAAACTGGTATAGGATAGTTTTTGAGTGAAAATTTTCTTTCACTCACAAAACTTTAATTTTTTTTCCAAATAAAATGCATGTCCAAACATAACTTCAACTTTCAAAAGTTATTTTTCAGCACAACTTCAAAAACTCGTTTTCAAGTTTCAATCAAATTATCTATGTCCAACCGCTATCTTAGATAAGGTTGGTGATTTATTCGTTTAACAAAATCTTAGTGATTTTGGTGCAATAAAATAAAAATGAATGACCATCCATAAAATTGAAAGATATTTCACGACTATTCGACTCAATAAATAAACATAATATCCGTATAGCCAATATACAACTTTACGAACATGTAGCTCAACAAAAAAGGCCCAGCTCCAATAACGTGACCGTTGTTTTCGTTTGCACCAAAATTTAGAGGTCTTCATACCAGGTTTTACGTGATCTTCCACACTTAAACACAACCAGCGTGATTGAGCATATACTATATTTCTATTCCATCTACAAAAAAAATGCAAATGGAGAGCCATGCAACTTAGAGAAAACACTAAATATATATTTCTTCCCAAAGTTCCAAAGAGCCAAAATTAAAACCAAAAATTGAAGAATTTAGCTGCTATTGTACGTGAGTTGATTACAGAATCATCAAGAAAATAAAATTTATACAGAAATTGCGCCAACAAAAGTAAGAGAAAAAAAGAAAGAAGAAGAAATTGATTTTAACTATTTTTCAATGAAACTTTATCCAGTATATATTTAGCTCAATGGTGAACGAAATAGTGCAAATAAATTTGTCAGTTTCGTTAGGAATTGTGTTGTTATCAAGTCTGGCTTCAATTTTTAAAATTTAGTTATAATTCAGCTGCTACAAATTCAGGCGGTATAAATAAAGACAAACTTATATAAGAGATTGATAATGCATTTAGTGAAGCTATTTGATAGAATCAAGATGGCATTCAACAAACAAAAATCTAATAGGTAGAATCTATTGAGACGAAGAAGAAGTTGGTTTTCATTTCATAATATACTGTTACACCGACTAACTATATTTAACAACCAAAACTAACACTTACGTGCCTCACATAAGTGAGCTTGTACATTGTCTAAAATACCCCTTTCGTTAATAGCTGTACCCCACAATACTCCCCCTCGAGTTGGAAAGTGGAAGATGTCTAACACACCAAGCTTGGAAACTAAGAAACCATGTTGTCTAGCAGTCAATCCTTTTGTTAAAAGGTCCGCTAATTGCAATAAAGAAGAAACATAACATGGATGGATGAGCCCTGTCCTGATTTTCTCCCTCACAAACTGACAATCTATTTCAATGTGTTTTATTCTCTCATGAAAGATAGGATTTCACAGAACAGAGAAACATGTTTGGATAGTTACTCCCAACTCTTCTAGTATTCTAGTTAGCCAAGTAATCTCTGCGGTTACAACAACCATACTTCTGTACTCAACTTCTACTGAGCTCCTGCTCACTGTTTGTTGCTTCTTTGACTTCCAAGGTATCAAAAAATTATCTAACTTCACAACATAGCCTGTCACATATCTTTATTTGTTGAGGCATGATGTCCAATCTGAATCACAATATGCATTGAGATTGTTAGTGAATCCTGCTTCCATCAATAGTCCTAGTCTTGATGCTCCCTTTATATATCTTACTACTCTTAGAGCTGCTTCTATGTGTGACTGTTTGTGATTTTGCATAAATTGACTCAAAGTTTAGACTACAAAGCTTATGTCATGCATGTTAATAGTTAAGTATATAACTTCCCTATCAAACATTAATATACTGAGTTGTCCTCCAATTCTAAGTCATTTGTCTTCCTAATACAAGTGTTACTTCACTGTTGTCAATTTCTGCTTCAACTCTATAGGAGTGGCAACTATATTTTCACAACTTAAACTTCCTTCTGAGATTAGTTCTAACTTCTAAGGCAAACTTCCTTTGATTGAGTAAGATCCCCTTCCTTGACCTTGAGACTTCAAACCCAAGGAAATATCTTAGCTGACCTAAGTCCTCAACCTTGAACTTGCTATGAAGGGTTGTCTTAGCATCATTCACTAGGTTGTGACAGCTCCCGGTAATAAGCAAATCATCTACATGAACTAATATGATGACCCACTCTTTTCCTTGTTGCTTTATGAATAAAGAATGATCAAAGGCACTTTGGTTATAGCCACTATGAATTAGTGCATCAGTAAGTTTTTATGTTTCATTGTCTGGATACCTGTTTGAGTCCAAAGAGGGATTTCATAAGCCTACATACTTTCATCTCCCTCTGCTTGTGAATTCCTTGAGGCAACTGCATGTAGACCTCTTCATAGAGGTCTCCTGCAAGAAAGCATTGCTAACATCCATTTGGTATAAATGCCAACCTTTTGCAGCAACTATGCTTATAATGATTCTTACTGTGACCATTTTTGTCATAGGTGAAAATATGTCATGATAGTTTAGTTCTTCCTTTTGATTACACTCCTTTGCAACTAGCCTTGCTTTATACTTCTCTACCTCTCTATTAGCCTTGTATTTAATTTTTTACACCCATTTTGACCCAAATTGCTTCCCAGCTAGTAGGTCTACTATCTCCCAATCCTGTTGCATTGCATCAACCCACCTGCTATAAGTTAAAGTCTCTTGAAAAGTACTAAGCTTTGATACCATGATAGATACTAGATTGCATGCACAAACGAAGATCTAATAGGAATAATCTAGAAGATTCAATGAATTGAGAGGAAGAATAAGAAGTTGATTTTAATTTCGTAATATACTGTTACACCGACTAATAGTATTTAACAACCA